TTGGCTTGCAACGATTATGAAAACAACATAATCGAAATAAAACGATTATTTTATTTTTATTTATATTTTATAATTTTTTATTTAATTAATTTTTTTATTGGTTTTTCAGTTAAATTATACTTAAAGTTCAGGGTAATCAACTGTTACAAACATACTGTTCATATTTATTTTTTCAATAAATGGATGTTTTCAAAGTAAATGGATAATCGTTTTTAATAATCGTGATATCAATTATTGACCCAAATAATCGAGATTATGATTTTTGCCATAATCAAGCAGCCCTAGTCCTGGTCACTTAATGAAAACAGCAACCCAAACATGTCCAGCTGAGAAGCAAGGGTGCGGGGGAGTTTATTTACCTCCCTCCCCCCATGCACCATCATCGCTGCAGGGGGCTCAGGCCATTAACCTAAAGCATACTGAAGACTCTATGATGCTCATTATATCCATTTGGCTGCAGCCTCCTTGCACAGTGGTCACGTAGACGTCACAGGGGTTCATAAAACTACACTGAGACAGGATGACATCATCTACATCCTCAGTGGAGGTTGCTAATATAGTTTAACGATCCTTAGGGATTAATTATAAACAAATGTTTCCTAGTTGCAGCAGTACCTGAAGTAGGGCAGTGCTGCAAACGCACACAACATTAGCAGCATACTACAGCTGGAAAATGCAGATGTGAAACCTGATTTTCACACAGCATCATGTCAGCGTCAGTATATCAGGGATGGTTTGGGCTCCTAAAAAACAAAAATAAATCTGACCTGTGAGCTGATAATGATGCTAATATGCAGCTTGATAAAGAGTTTTGACCTTTCTGTCAATAAGGTAATCAAGGATTCAATTAGCCAAGAAGAACAGCACAACTTGCTGGTTAAAGTTTTAAATATAAAGATTTATTTAGTTTTATTCTCTAATTATTATCCCTTAAAATTCAATATCTTTCAGTTTTGGACTTTTGGGTTAGAACATTTTTTAATTTAAGTGAATTTTAGAACATGCTATGGGCCTTTTTCATTACTTTGTATAATAAGTCTTGATGATGATTATTGTAAAACATAATTGTGGACAGAGCTGTGTGAGCTATTTTTCTTTGCTTTATATAATTCTCTAATTCATATTTGGGATTTTCAACTGTTTGTACAAAATAAGCCTTTTAAATATATCATATCATGGGCATTAGGAAACTGTGACAAGCAGTTTTTGCTTTTTTATTTCATTTTACAGACCAAACTTTAATGGTAAAGAATCAAGAATATGAAGAATATTTAATAAAAGTATGCCAGTGTATCAGAATTGCAATATGTACACAAGAGGTTTAAGAGAGTAAAACTACTTTGGCCCTGTGATTGAAGTGTTTCAGAGTGTTTTCTTTGGTGTCCAATCTTCCTGCAAGTCAAATCTCCAGTTTCAATGTCACCTGAGGGAAATTAAAGAAGTTAACCTGGACCTTATAATCCCCAAACAGCCTGCCAAGCAAACTTGCGCATCGCTCCGTGTCTGAAAATGGTGTCATCACTTAAGGAGACAGAATGAGAATGAAAACCCACCATAAGCTCCGTCACCTGACTTTGTGTCTAATGGGCCGTGGATAAATGGGAGAGCTGGGAGAGTGAGGAGAGTGAGGAGGAGAGTGAGGAGGAGAGTGAGAGGGAGAGTGAGGAGGACTCTGCGTCTGCCCTGAGTAATGGCTCAGTGCTGGGGAGTTGTCAAGGGAGACTGAGGTGATGTCTTGTGATGGGGGGGGGGGGGGGGGGGGGGCTCAGGAATGGTGATGGTGCAGCCAACGCTCGATACCTGCCATGACATGCCACATCATCCCGTGAGTTTCATTCTCAAATGGAGGTGTACTCCCACTGGTACTAATTGATTGATGGCCCAGATACATTAAGATAAATGGAGCTGTTCAGTATCTAAAGGGAGACACTGTGGGTGTTTCTCAATCGCGAGTACGCTTGCTTGGTAGCACATGTCTTCCGAGTCACTTCCTTCAGAAGCTAGGCAAGAATCCTTCCTGGCATTCGGAAAACGAAGAGTGGAACAGGCTAGCAAGTGTGCAGGTGTGCGTCATATGAGAGGCCCCGCCTTACATTTTCCGCCACAGATTTGGGGAAATTGGTCCGTGCGCAAAGCATTGTGGGGATTTTAAGGACACGAAGTCTACCCATGTGCAGCCTCGAAATTTCCCCCAAACCAAGGACGCGGCCTCGGTGGAATTCCAAGTATGCTGGACATTGGAACGGTCCTGCTGCGCCACTTGATGACGTAGCATCCTTGAAATATTGGCTTGGAAGCCAATATCCTTGCGATTGAGAAACGGCCAGAGTCTAGTAACCAAGACTTTGGTTTAACACTTACACGTGTCGATATGGATTTCTAAAAAAGAGGTCTTAACATTTGAAACAAAAAGAGTCACATATGGGATTTTGGATATCTCTTTTTATGACTACGTAGATCCAAAAAGCCACATTTTTTTAAATAAAATGTCCTAAAAATAAGGTTATTAATGATGTATGAACAAAGCTTTGGTCAAAAGTAACAAAAATAATGAAACTGGAGTTTGTCGTATGTCAGTGCTAAGTGGAGTTTTCAGAATGATTAGAAATAATAAATATTATTTAAAAAAGAAACATCAATGAAAAAAGTAATTTCTTAGAGTTTTTTTAAATAAAACATAAAATTACACAGATACCACTGTGTTTTTGGAAATGTTTTGTTTAAATCTGATGCTAAATATAGTTAAATTAAGGAGAAATATACAGATGCAAATTGACAAAGTTGGTCAAATACACCTGTATGTAGGGCTGCTCAATTAATCGTATTTTAATCGCAATTACGATTATGGCTTGCAACGATTACGAAAACAACGTAATCGAAATAAAACGATTATTTTTGTATTATTATTAAGTTCAGGGTAATCAACTGTTAAAAACATACTGTTCACATTTTTTTTCTCCAATAAATTGATGTTTTCAAAGTAAATGGATAATCGTTTTTAATTATCAATTATTGACCCAAATAATCGAGATTATGATTTTTGCCATAATCGAGCAGCCCTACCTGTATGTGAATTCTGGGTCTTTCATCTAATGTTAAAGTCATGTTATGTGGAGCAAAAAAGAAGCCAAACTCACAAAATTACCAGTACATGAAGTATCTCGCCTTAAAATGTGAAATATGTTATGTGTGGTATTTTTTAATTGATATAAAGTGATGGGTTACAGTGTGAAAAGCACAGGTGTTACTCATAACATTAACGAGGGCTGCGCTCTATTCAAGTGTCTTAATGGAATTCACCCACTCGTTAAATGTGATTGTTTACACCTGTGCTTTTTCCTTCTGTGACATTTCCCTGTCTGCGGTGAATAACCTCAAATCAAGCTGTTAATGTATCTTTATGCTTCACAAACAAAAGGTTAGAAAACAACTGCAGAGAGCCTCATCTTCCTATATTGCTGAATATAAGAATACAGTATGAGTTGCTGACAGGAACTTTGAGAATGTAGGTTAGCGGGCTAATGCAGCTGCAACAGAGGGATTCCCATTCACTGCAACTGAGCATGTAAACACAAGAGATGCAAATTGGTGCCTATATTAAAGCCTTATTATAGGCACCAATTCACACTATTGGAATGTAACTGCATTTACTCAAGTGCAGTACTAAAGTACGATTTTGATATACTATTCATTTTAGTTGAATATTTCCATTGTATGCTACTTTATACATATATTTCTCTACATTTTTAGAGGAAAATGTAGTACTTTTTACAACATTGACTTGACACTGAAAAAAGTGATATGATGCAGTACTGCACTACACATCTACTACCACTAATCCCAACGTATGCTCTTGCATTCATTGGGAAGTGATTTCAACTGAATAATATCACATTGAAAATGTGTACTTGGCTTCCTTTGAGTACATTTTGATGATACTTCTTCAGTGCTTTTAATTAAGTGCCATTTTGAAATTGTACTTGACTTACTACTCAGGTATTCCTTTTTTTACTTAAGTGTAAGAGTATTTATTTCAATACTGCCTGTAACCAATGTACACTATGGTTGAGGGTCAAATAAATCACATTCTATCCATACAAAGTCTAAAACTAATCACACTGTCAAATATGACAAGGAAAAGCAGCAAATTATCACATTTAAGAATCTAAAACCAGAGTGTGTCCAGTTTTGCTTGAAATGTATTGAAATATTAATTGAATAATCATGTTTTGTACCAATACTGAATCCAAAGAATTCCTTAACATGTGGGGATATCCAATCCAAAAGATGAATCTCCTTTGATGACCAATCCAATGTCAACTCCCAACTGCAGAGCACATCTTTAATGGTATCCTCTCCTCTCTGTCTTTTATCATGCTTAAGACAATTCTACATCACAAATAATATTCCTTCATGGAGCCCTCTTGTTTATTTTATGGCAGAATCAATGAAAAAGGTTGATCAATAATAATAAAAGAGGCCCCCACCCGCCATACTGACCAATATACACCTGCTGACTATTCATATATGTCTGAATGTAATATGTGCCAACAGGGCCTGTGTGTCTTAAAGTCACAACAGTTGGATTGACAGCTTGAGGAGCTGAGCTACATCTGGCAGCATCACTGGCAGACATCAAATAATCCTCTCAGCCTGCAGGCCTGCACCGGCCGGCAGCAACAATGAGCTCTAACCAGCCCTGCTGCTGCAACCCTGAACACATCATCCATGCAGCAGCAGTAGATCAACACATTCCCTCTCCAACATGCATGCAGTGCAGTGCTGCTTTGATGCCCAGCACCCAAAAAAAAAAATCAAACACGACAATCGGCATCCATTATATTTGCACCTGGTCATCCCAGTGAAGCAGCATCACCAAAAAACCGACTTTGACACATCCACTGCACCATAATTCTCCAGCGACATATGTTGATATTGCAGACAACGGGGGAGCAAAAATCTCCATCTTCAAAGAAAGAAAAAAGGATGTTCCAACTCACCGTCGGCTGCAAACCGGCTCCCGTTTCCTCCCCCGGCAGTGAGTGTGTGATAATGCTGTAGAAAATGATGATGTGTGAGCGTGTGTATGTGTGTGCCCGGCCAGTGTGTGTGTTTGTGTGTGTGTGTCCGAGCCGCTGCAGCAGCAAGCTGTGGTCCACACGGATCCTCGCTCTCCTCCTCACCAGCTCAGAAACCAGTAACAAAGATCGTCTTTGATTTAGCAAAGACGACGCACTCGTGAGCAAAACATCGAACCCACTTTCCAGACCGATACGGCATAAAGCGGCGCGGTGACTTAATAATTACATTTGAAAACGCATACTACTTTTTATAGTTAAAGCCAATCTCGCTCCAGATGTAAATGTATATCTGTCTAACATGCATGGTTGAATTGTGAAACTTCAATCTTTACATGTTACTTATGGTAGAGGGAGAATATGTCAGAGTGAGACCTTCTCATTATCTTCTACTATCTGTCAGTCGGTGCCAATTCGGTGCAGAAAGAAAGAGGAAAAATGGCAGCTACAGCGACCCCGCGGTACTGAGTGGCAGGAGTGGAACCTGCAGACTGATATGGGAGAAACAAACAATAACCCTGCCGAGTTCTATTATTGTATTAAATACAAAAGCCTCAATATTCCTGAAATGAAGTCACACGTAGCCTCTTACATCAGTGGTAATCAGCAAATTGGGTTTTCTAGTAGGAATGTATTAAAAGTTGTTTTTTCTCCTGATTTGTTTGTTCTAATTTGCCAGGTTCATTTCATACTTTTCCTTTTAATATCAATTGATGTTATTGCTGGTATCTTATTTCTTTATCTTATTTTTATTTGTATCTTACTGTATTGGGGGGGAAAAGGGACAGTTCATCCCAAATCCAAAATGTTTGTCTTTTCTTTTACCTGTAGTGCTACAATATTCAATGATGTGGATTGTTTTTCTGTGAGTTGCCGATTGTTGGAGTTATTAGCCGTAGAGATGCCTGGCTTCTCTTGAATAAAGATGGCAGTAGATGGCAGCTTGTGGTACTCAAAAAGCCATGAAAGAAATACATTTAGAAAAGTAACAACAATGTTTCCTTGTAGAAATGATGACCTGGTAACTCAAGATAATCCAGTTGTCTGTTATAATGTAGGAACTATTTTCTTTCTACCATATTATACCTTCAAACTGTGTCACCCTGCCAAAGGAAGTGTGCATCTATTCATGACTGAGAGACTTGCACTAAAGAGACTACAATAAATAAAGTCTTAAAATGCCATTTGAACAGGGCAGACTAAAAGACGGACATGAAAATGCAAATCAAAAAAAAAAATCAATATAAGGTTCTGATCCAGGATGTCAAATATGAAAAACAGGTGTTCCTGCGCCATCAACACGGGACAGGTTGCCCATTTCAGAAACTGACATGGTGTCAAACGCCCCACTGCACATTACATTATCATTACTGGCCCACCTACTCACATCACATTTTTTACTGCACAACTCACATGGCAGCTGTGTGTGTGAACACCCCTCACCCCTCCCACATCACTCAGCTCCACCGCGGGACAGACCAAGCATGTCTCAAACACATTAGGACCCCTGTCATTAACGGCCATCATACCAGAGTCTCACTCTCTTTGTCTAGCAGTCAAATGAACGCTGAAAGGATTATACTTGACATCTGTTTAAAAGGCATATTTACACCCTCATTTTTTTATGAAAAGTGTTAATCAAACCTATGAGCTGGGCTTTTACTGCCAAGGAGTGTTCACGTGTAGATCACCTTAAGGCATGTTCAGGTCACCAGCACAAAGTGGGAAAAGAAGGGTATACATGTAGAGTTTCCTCACATGATAAATGCATGTTACACTCATCCAGGCCGAGGGGCATTAGCATTCACATACTGTTGCTGCTACTAATGGTGACAAGTCCTGAGGGTAGGCCGGGACAAACACAAAGAGGATGAGAATAACATGTGAATGTGTTTTTGTATATGAATCCCACTAACCTCTGAAAGGTGTGCACCGGCTCACTGATTTAAAAGCATAACATGCAATTTGATGCCACTAAAAGTGAATCAGAATAATAGACAAGCTGCTACTGTTTGCCCAGCGTGTTTCTCTGGTTATTGAAGATACAGACGTTTATTACTGTAAGCCAAATTATCCACACAGGCCTCTTCCTCTCCAAAACAAACAGACATGTTCAGTTAAACTGCTGTAAACACACACAAAAATCAGTTTATTGTTAAATATTATTTACTCCGTTTGGATTGACATAGGATGGAGGGGCTACATGCTAACGTTTGCTCAGTTTGTACTACTTGTTCAGGATGTTTATGCAGGCATTCAAATGATCTGCAACATTCACTTGACACATTAAGTCTATTCCTTAGTGACTTTAAACATAACAATGATATGATGTGATGCAGTACTGCAATACAAATCTACTACTAGTAATCTACCCAATGTAAACTGTGTCGTTTTAAAAATCAGGGTTTCTGCTTCACTGATTTTCTCAGCTTTTTCCCTTATAACTGATTTAGATGTCCAACGACTACAATTTAAACTTGATAAAAAGTCAATTACAATGCAGTTACTGCAACTTATAGTTGAACATCTGAAATGGACAGTTACCTTAAATGAATTATGGCTTGCTCTGGGTCTGAAAATTGTTTGAAACTTTTAGAATAATCAGTGCACAGCTCAATAAAATCAGTACACAGCTCAATAAAATATATATATATAGACATTAAGACATTTTAAGGTGTTTTGTTACCAGTTACATCTTTGGATGCTTAATTGTTTTTCATGGGTGTAACTTTGAAAACTTAGAAAATGCTAGAAGATTTAAGTTTACACTGTACAGAAGTTGCAACAGTGGGCACAGACAGTGCTGTTTGACATTCATGCAGGCCTGTTATACAAATAGTCTGTGTGTGTGTGTCTCTCTGTGTGTCTCTGTGTGTATGTGTGTGTGTGTCCACATAACCGACTGGCAGAGATCTGTTGAGGGCCACACCACTGTGTAAACTGTTCTGCCGTTTCTTGTCAATGGGGAGACGTGACGACGGACAGATTGCTTTTGTTTTACGGTGTGACATTACAGACATACCGCTGTGGAGTGTGAAATACTCAAAAGAAGCTTTTATATTTTTATTACCATTTCTAAAACTATGTGTGTCAATAGATCCGTTATACTGTATGAAGATGTTTCAGGATCCTTGCCAGGCCTACTCTAATGGCACTGTGTACTCTAAAACAGTTTATACAGGCCAGGGATATATAATATTACAAAAATGTTTCTTTGACAGCCACGAGACACCAACTTCTACAAATTAATCGCCTACACAACAGCCTTCCTAACTTGGTCAGAGAGCTACATCATTGACAAGTGAAGCAGCTGAACTTTACATAAAGACATGACGCCATAAGACATATCAGAGGAAGGACATGCTGAGAAGTGACTTATTAAGCATCATTCGAGCTACGTTATCCACATCAGTTAAGATCCCCTATTTAAGGAGGCTCTTGTAACTTTATACTGTTGCATCTACAGCCAACTGGTTGAGGTTTTACTGCAGGGCATCAAAAAGTGAAAGCAGAGCCAAGACGAAACAAGGTAAGACAGCTTCCACTGGCACTTCCTGGAAGACGCTAAGCCTTGGAAAAGCTGGAGGAAAAATATTGATGGCAAACTTTAATGTGATCACTCTCTTTTGTCAACAACAACACACGGCGGCAAAATAAAAGAGGTTGATTGTGTAACACATTTCCATCGGATCAGGGACAATTTTAGGAAACCGTGGGCACACATACATTGAGAAGATTGTAAATGAGAAGGGAACTATAACGGTTGCTAGGGAACACCATAAGACCAGACAATCCAATTCTGCCTGTGGAGGAGGAGAGACGGATAGCTTCTGCCACGAAGAGCAACTAGTAGTGCAGTGCTATGAACTATATATATGAAATGGATATGTTTCCCACTCCTTCATGTAAACATGGCCTGGCAGACTTCACTTGGACTTGGCACTTTGGCCTTTCACGCTGGAGATGCCAACAGCATGAACATCACCACAGTGTTAATCTCATGTTCACCTCATTTGTCTGTCTTGACTGTGCATGTCAGAGACACTCAGTCTCCACACAGATGGACTTAAAGGATATTTATTTCCTGCTGTTTGACACTGGAATTTAACAGCAACCTGTACTAACAAATATATTGTATACAGGGCCTGTTCACTCAAATCACTTCAGGTGGTGTCTTAGCACCAATGGTGAAGAGTTACTAGGTAATTGTACTCAGGTTCTGGACCTAAGTATCATTTTGTGGTACTTTACTTGAGTGCTGCATTTCCTGCAACGTTATACTTTTCCTCCACTACAATTCAGAGGCAAATGCAGCGCTTAAACTCCAATGCATTTATCTTAGAACTTAAAAACTAGAAATACAATGAACAAATCATGTATTATTAAAGGTTTTGATACAACTTTATTGATCCCTTCTTGACATCATAGCTACACGGCAGTATATATATTAAAAAAGCTCCTTGTAAACCAGTTGCAACATAAAATGATAAACAATTTAATGTTGTAATAATTTAATAATCGGATATAGGCCATTGGACAAAATGAGGATTTACATTAAATTACTTTGATGCCAATACATACATTATTTTTAGAAAAATAAGACTTTTAATGCAGGAATTTTAACAGAGTATTTCTACAGCGACATTTACTTTGAAGCCGTCCCAAAACAATATAAGAGCAGTGCAATTTGTTTAAAGCCAGTGAAAGAAACCTTATTTATGTCATTTCTACAAATGTAATTATTTGCCATCAGGTGGATGAGGGAAGCTTTGTGATTTTGAGATAGATAGTGGTTCCATGAAGTGCCTCCATACACCTTAAAAGGGGACCTATCATGCAAAATGCACTTTTGTACGTCTTTTATACATGAGTATGTGTCCCCGGTGTTCCAGGGAACTCACCAAGTGTCAGAAAACACAACCCTCTCTATTTTCCTCCATACCCAAATCTCTAAAAAAGGGGCTGCAACGGATCTGATAAAAACTGATCCAGATTTGAACACTGTCCTGACGTCAGGACAGTGGCGCTACGGCTATTGGGCCAACTCCACCAATCAGGAGGAGACAGGCACGGCCATTGCCGTTCGAAAGCGCTGGAGACGCTGTAGTACATATGCCAGGCCTGTAGAGGGTGCTGTTCTCACTGAATCTGCCCTTGCAAAAACAGAGCTAAAAATTGTCAAATTGAGCAAAATGAGGCATGGCTAAAATGCATGATCTGTTTGGTATTTTGAAAAAAAACAAGTATAAATATGCCTTATATAGGTATGGTCCTACACTATATTATTCAAATATAGCATGATAGGTCCACTTTAACTTAAAATATATACTGTATCTATACAAAATCTCATCAACCCACAATAAGTCCTTATTTACTTACATCAGGCGGTCCAATATTTACCCAGAAGGCAAAGTAGTTCGGGTCCAGGCTTTTGTCATCTCACGTCTGAACCACTGCAACTCCCTTCTGGTGGTTTTACCTGCAAATGACATCCGACCTCTGCAGCTCATCCAGAATGCAGCAGCAGCTCCACTGGTCTTCATCCTACCCAAGTGTTCCCGCTCCTCCGCTCGCTTCGCTGGCTGCCCAAATCCACAGACACTGTTACTGGCCTACCATGCTGTAAACCTTTCATACATCAAGGATACTAAATCACACACTCAAGTTTGTGCACTTCCCTCTGCATCGGCTAATCATCTCGCCACTCCCTCACTGTGAATGTTACCCCTCAACAAAAAAAGGCCTGCTAGCTATCATAGCACCAAAATGGTATCATTGATATCAGGACAGCAGAAAGTCTACAAATATTTTCACACAAAAACTCACCTGTTTTGACTGCCTATTAAACGTGACACACACACAAACAAAAAATAATACTAAAATGGTTGAGCTCATTCGAAATAAACACACCAGCACATGCAATGGTTTAGCTCATGTTAGCCAATAGTACCTGCATGTTTCTTGCTGTTCTGAGTTTCTATCTTCATGGTTTATAGAATTTATTGTAAGCCATTATGTATTAAAAGTGTCAGCTAAATGAAAATGTAACTGCCATCTGCTCAGAAACACATTTTCTGCCATGTTGCCCGCTTTCACTCTGCTTACTCTTGTAGGATCTGTCCCCCGAGTATAAGCCGATACCTACCGAACAGCTCTAAAGCCAGGCCAAGTGTAGGCAACACAGCCATAAATCAGAGCTTGACGTTTAGGTGCAACTCAAGCTGGCGTTGGAAGAAAGGGCCATCAATCAATCAGTCAAGACAGCTACAACTTTGATGGTTTTAAACCGGGATTGATGCATCAGTCAAGTGAAAGGCTTGACACATTATGTTATACCTTTCTGACATGTGTCTTTGTTGTGGAGGTGTGTAGGTTTGCCTCTCTGCGATGCATTGTTCCCGTTGATTGGGGTAACAACAGTTTGACTGGAGGAATGACGCTGTGGAATTTCAGGGGATCCTTCAATGGAATCTAAACAATAAAGCTGAAAATCAATGTGTGCGATTGGGAAACAAAGGCAATTCGTCATAGCAAGACACTCAGCATTCCTTTGGGACAACTCTATGGTGATGTGTTTGTGTTACGAGTGTCAGGAAAATCAACACTTTAAAAAGGGGGCCTATTGTGCTTTGTGGGGTTTCCCCTGTGCTGTAGTGTGTTATATAGATTTGTGTGCATGTAAATGGTCTGTGACATCACTATGTAACACTTGCGCTTCTATTGGCTAGCGCTATAACACATTGTATGTGATAAACTAAGGGGCGGGACATCTCTAATCTGTTGACCAATCAGACTGGGCTCTGGTTTCAGACAGAGGGTGAAAAGAGGTGCTGCAGCACAGGTAGTATGAGAAAAATAAAGAGCTTTTTGAACATTAAAGCATGGAGACATGTCCCAGGAGAGACACTACATACTAATATGAACCTGAAAATAAGATGGCAAACATTCCTCTGGCATATATTCCCAATCCACTAATGTAGAAGTACAATTAAAACAAATCATACAGAGGTCAGAAGATCATATATCAATGTTATGAAGTTTTATTTTTTCATGACATTTCTTATCGCATTCAACCAAGCTATAAATTAGGGAGGTATCAGGGGGGTTAGAATTCTCCAAATGTAAATATTGTGTCACTTTCTTGAAATGTGGGACAAAGAGGAATTAAAGGCAAAAGCTTCGTACTAAATAATGGGCCACAAAGGAGAACATGCCATGAGGAAAACATTAAATCGCATTCTGATATATTGTCATTAGTATCAGAAACAGATTCCAGTGTCTGCGTCAATCAAGTAAAGTCAAAATCAGCACTATTTTTTTTTTTGTTGCTGTATTCCTAAATTCTAGCAACCCCATTTAAGTATTTCATAATTACTTCAAATATTATTTACATTTTCTTAGTAAAAAGTTTACAAAGTGCATGAGGTCTTTCTCCTGTAGTGTAGGCAGTCGTTTTAATGGTTTCACTGGGCAACCATGTGTTAATTACATCTTAATGTATTCAAGTCAGTCCATATCATTTCTAAATAACTACAGTGATCATTAATTCTTCATATTGTGGTCATGAGTCTGTGCCACATTACCGTGCTTGTGCGTTTAGTCCACCAACACTTTAAGCCAGTTAAAATTCATACATTTATGTACAGAAAAAATTCCTTTCTGTAATTATTCAAGTAAATTATTTCATTAAGCGTCCAAACCTGCTTGATTCTTATCAAAGTTAATACTCCGTCTCCATCAAAGACACATTGCGTCCAACTAAAAACACACCACATATGTAATTTCACACTATTATTTACAGTATAGTATTGTCTTTTTTAATGAATCATCATAATGAAACAGTCCTTATACAGTGTAAATGATGATTTAAAAAAAAAGGCCAAAAAAAAATGCTTAAAAATAAAAGGTCCAGTTTGGCCTGAATCGATCAGGTCTTGGGAGTTCTTCTTACCTTAAAAACCCACACTGTTGCCAGGCAGATAACTAGAGCTTGGAGCTGAAGGGCAGCCCCTCGTACATGTCGGCCTTGAGCTTGGCCCACTCGGCCACCCTCTGGATGGTGCTCTTCTCCTGGCAGAGCACGCTGGCAGCCTTCTTCAGCTTGGCCTCGTTGCGCTCCAGGTAGCGCTCGGCCTCGCCCTTCAGGAAGTTGAGCTTCTCGGGGCGGCTCTCGTTCAGCGGGATGTCCTCGCTCATGTAGGGGTTGAAGCGGAAGTAAGTGCCAGGGGGGAGGAGGGCGTCCAGCATGGTGTGCACCTCTGGAATAAGGATAGAAGAGTATTGCTTTTAAAAGGTCATCTATTATACTGTTTTTCATCAATATATTATAGGTCTCAGATATATACAAAACATGTCTCTGAAGTGTTTGGCTCCAAACACCAAACAGATCATTGCAGCATCCCATAATCCCCTCTGTTTCAGCCCTGTTTCCAAAGTGCTGATTCTCTGTCTGTTACTTTAGATGAAAATAAGGAGCCCCTCCCCACGCCCCTCTGAGAGATATTTGGTTAAAAAGAACTCAATGGTGCTCTAGGAGGAGATTCAGGTGATAAGGTGGGAGGGGGTTACCTTGGTTGGTGATTGGCTAATGGTTACACAAGACAAAAAATCGTTATGACATCATAAAGTGGGCAAAATCTGATCAGCTCATTTTCAGACAGGTTTTTATATAAATGGATCAGGACGAAAAGTGAGAGAATCTTTTTTTCCCCTGAAACTTTCAGAGTCTCTTTACCCAGAGGGGAAATGAAACATTGGATTTTGCATAATAGGTGACCTTTAAAGTTGGTTTATATTTCAAGAAGCACTGGAGCGGGGAAATCGTAACTCGTCACACTGCCTGTGACTGCGCGCCTCTGAGCTGTGGTTTATAAATAAATGTGTGTGACGTCAAACATTGGTCTTACCCTCAGTATCCGTGGCACTGCTGATGACGTGTGAGAGCTTGGTCTTCAGGCTGGTGTAGGTCGTGCTGTTTTTGTCCACCGTCTCGTACCGTCCCGTGCCCAGAGACAACACACACTGCAGCGGGGTGTTAGGCCACAGACACTTGCACTCATGGATGGCCAACGCTGTGGGGTTGTTGATGAGGAGGCCTCCATCCTAAAAGGAGAGGAAGGATAAGAAAGGTAATGAAAAGGGGAAGGAGAATCACCATGAAGTAAAAGAAGGGCCCCAAAGCAATCACTGTAGAATGTTTTACGTCTTATTTCCACTGTAGACAATTTGCTTTTCGAACCAACAGCCAATGTTGTTGATGGGTTCAAAATCTGCAAAGTCACCTTCAGCTTTTCATCAGTCAAATATGCTTACTAGGCAAGGTTAATACACCGAAAGGACACTTTGCATGCATAGAAGGAGCCTCAGGTTTTAATATATGTGTTGTGACAGCCTGCAGGGGACACATGAGGTGAAGTGGACACGCTGTCCCAGAGCTACAAAGCTCGCTGGGCTGAGATGTGCTGTGTGTGCAAACAGCCCTGTTTATTCACAAATAAACAAGTAGGAATGTCTGTCTTTTAGAGCAGCTTTCCGAGGCTATAATAAACCCTTTCTTTGAATAATTTGATCCAAAACTAAATTGAATAAGAAGATCTAGTTGCTGCTCTGAATTGAACATTGTTGATACAGCATGTTGCATTTGAGTATTCTAATCCAGACTGATTTAATTGACCTAATCACAAATGACTTGCCATTTGCTCTAAATAATGTAACAGGATTGGAGCTGATCTAAGTGGTGCCAACAATGCCAGGAAGAGGACAATGGAGCTAAATGGATGCCTGGACCCATTTAGTGCTAAACACTCTTTCTCAGTCTTTCCCCGAGTCCAGCTCTGGACCACATCCAGACACCGAAGGGCTTTTGGATCGGATTTATAGAGATGGAGAGTGTGGCGCACAAGAGCTGAGACCCTCCCCAGTGGAGCGGGGGTAAAGGTCTTTAACGCCTCTACATGGGGAGGGCAATAGAGAAATATCCAAAAAGCTTGAATGCCCTTTTTCTTCTCTGAGAAAACACAAATACTGCTCTGGCGTTGGTAGTAGATGTATCTGTTCTGATTTATTTAAAATTGTGTCTTCTTTAGGCACTCAATTTGGGGTGAAGTGTCTTGCCCAGGGACACAACGACATGCTGACTGCAGTGGGGTTTGAACCTGTGACCCCCTGATCCGAACACCAACGCACAAACCACTGCACCACACGCCTACAAAAATAATTCCTTACATTTATTATAGCGCTTTTCCAGATGCTCAAAGCGCTTTACAAATACACATTACACACATGTAACGCTCATGTACTGATGACAATACCCACAGGAGCAAATTCAGGTGAAGTGTCTTGCCCAAGGACACAACAATTAATAAAGTCGATTTTATCCAACCTAATCTAAAAACACACAGACGGACCGAATAAATATGTGTGCTGATACTGTGAATACCGGAAGAATCACAAGAGAACTCACAAGAGAAAGTTATTTATATAATTGCTTTTCTGTGAATTAAACTTTTTTTATTCACCCTGAAAAGTACAAACATTTACATAAAATAGGTTAAATATTAGTTCCAGGAAACTTATTTCAAATTCATATGTCTGTCTTTGGTCCACTGTGCTGTCCTGGTATTATTGTCTGAAACATGTTATTATTGAACTAATTATACAGCTGTGTACCCTCAGGTGTAAGCTACTGAAACAGAGGTTAATTACACAGCTGCTCCTCAGCTCTGACCCTCAACCTCTGAATGACATCCAACCAACACGCAAACTAAACGCTGCATCCCAAATGACTGGCCTAATGATACTCGTTTGCTACGATAAAAGGATATTTGACCTCTACATTGAGTGTGTGATGGTGTCTTCTCCCCACTGTGTTTGTGTGTGTAAATGTATTTATGATACCCTGCCTGCACTGGCTGAAGTCTCCTGAGAAATACCGCTGCTAGTGCTGAAAACTAGAGTAGGAGTGAGACCGGTGGGTGGCAACGGTAGCTCAAACTGTCGGCCACACACACACACACACACACACACACACACACACACACACACACACACACACACACACACACACACACACACACACACACACACACACACACACACACACACACCACCACACACACCACACACACACACACACACACACACACACACCACACACACCACACACACACACACACACACACAACACACACACACACACACCACACACACACACACACACACACACACACACACACACACACACACACACACACACACACACCACACACACACACACCACACACACACACACACACACACACCACACACACACACACACACACACACACACACACACACACACACACACACACACACACACACACACACACACACACACACACACACACACACACACACACACACACACACACAGATTGTGAATGTGAATAGCAATGCAAAAAAACAGCATTATATATATGCAAATGGCAATTCTTGCTAACAGCTCATTTTAAAACTAGCAACTACATCTTATGCCGTTTCCTTGCTCCTATAGAATAAAATAAAAATAATAAAATGACCAGAGATCGATTAATCTCAGACAAGATCAGGTTATATAGCATGCCAATAACAAATATAATCAAATGTCTGTCTTGGTAATACATTAGTAGGAATACTAGCAAACATCAGATGAGTTAAAGGCCTGGGCTCGGGCCAATTACTAGTAGGCCATTTGTTTTAATTCTACATGCTTAGAACTATTAAGGCTTGGGTCTGTAAACATGCAGAGTGGGGTTAGAGATTAGGATCTCTTATTGACTAAAACATTGCAAAGGGCCGTCTACCAGGACCCTGGCATTAGGAAACAGCAGGGGAGAGAAGTGCTTGTTGGAGCCGGGACAAGGCTAAATCTGCCTAAGTAGGTTGTTAAATGAAGCTGAAGCCTTGAGCATAATTGCTGCCCACACAGACCATCTAAAGATATCTGGCCTAATAATCAAACGTTATGAAATAAAAGGCGCTCTGTAATATGGGCCCAAGAAAAGATCACAGTAGCAGAAAGTAATTTATCAGATGCATGAACAGCTGGGTTTATATTCAATTACCTCCTACTTTAAGCTAATCTACCGCTCTTGAACCTTAAAAAGGATCAAGGATGCATCCATCACCTAATGCACACGCTTTCTCACTGTGTGCGAATGACAGACAGCAGCTCTGATATTTACTTTCTTTCATGGGGAATCAGAGCTCTCCATTTCCCTGCGAAGAAGCAGGCTAAGAGGACGAGGACTTTGATGTTTAGGGGGAACATGCAGGGTCCAAGGACTCTTTCTTTACCTCAATCTCCATCTCCATCTCCATCTCATTCTCTCCACTTCCTCTCAGACTCTTAAAAGCAGGGAAATGACTGCCTTCAAGGTTATGGGTATCAAGAGTGAAACAAATGTACACATACCCCTTGATGTGTACATTCACAGAGAGAGTGCAATGCTCATCGCTTTTGTCCTTGGCACCTTAACGGAAGTGTATTGATTGGAAACATTTCAAGGAAATTACTCTCTCACACTGGACTAGGGCTCTCAGAGAAATGTGACTACTATAGATGTGAACCACATGTATTCATCTCTCCAAGGACAGAGCCTTAGTGATGCTGTGTATTTTCGTGCTACACTTTCTTCTATCTCGCAGCCTGTGTTACCAACAGTATCTCTCTGTTGTGTGCCATACCTGATGGAGGTCTTTTCCCAGGACGAATTCCTGGAAGTATCCCGGCGCGGCAGACGAGGCCCTGATAGCCTGCCACATTTTGTGGTTGCAGTCTCCAAGGTAGTGGGATCTCACTCCTGGCATGAGTCTGTAGTTCCTGAACGTGAAGGCCTTCAGAGGTAAACCCCTGTTCACAATGGTGCTCACTGCTGACACCTGGTGGACAAACAAGGGCACATTGAGAAGGGAACACCAAGTAATGTGTATGACTTCTTGGTGACTTAATTCATATTTTTAAGAGCTGGTGTTTCACTCAGGTCTGTGCTGTTCAATTGACAACTAAATAATAGGTAAATAAGTGTTTTATTCCCTTTTTTCAATATCAGTACTCTGATATTTTACACAAGTAAAAGTAGCAATATCAGATGTTAAAAATGATCTGCTACAAGTAAAAAGTCGTGCAAACAGTATCTATATATAATATGAAATGAAAAAATGTAACTGCTGCTGGATATCCTAACCTCTAATAATATATCAATGTTTAATTTGTAATTATGCTATATTTTGTAATAGCTTATAATCCAAATATGTTAAGTAACTAAAGCTGCCAAATCAAAACTAAAAGAAAAAGTACAATATTGTCTTTAAAAATCTAGTAGAGTAAAAACAATAAAGTAGCATAAATTGAAAGCACTTAGGTAAAGTACAAGTACTTCAAAATTGTACTTGAGTACAGTACAAATTGAGTCCATATGGTGAAGAGCTGAAAAAAAACATGTGACTTACTTTAGGGCAGTGAGGGTCCCTGGCACTCTCAATCATACGCCCCTCACCCATCCGTTCCCTAGAGGAAATGCAAACGGATTAAAATTAAACACATCTCTATGTACTATATATAGAATAATTTGGAATCAAGGATGGATGTATGGATTAATGTAAATGTAAGTAGGAATAACTTGCACAATGACTTAAAGGACAATCATTGATCAAGTAAGGGGTGGGAATTAATAAGAATTTGCTTCATCCTACTCCCTTTCGGACACATATGATTTTTTTATTTTTTTTATTATTATTATTATTAATAATATGAAGATTTTTTTGTTGTTGAATATATAAATATTATCGTGAATGTGGATAAATACTGTATTTTAACAATACGGTATTCTGTTTTTTCACATTTGTTATTTTTTATTTGTTATTTTTTAATCTGTTCGAAATAAAGATTGAAATGAAATGAAGATGTGAGCAGTACAATCATGTAAAGACTGAGAGCAAAAGGAGGGATGAAAGAGTCCTGCAGACTGACTTGAGGATGTTTTCCCATATTTCACTGTCGTAGAAAGCGTGGCTCCAGCCCATCTTTACGGTTCCAACGATGACGTTCTGTTTGAAGACATCCGAGCCCAGCTTCCTGTACATCTCCTCGCATTCCTCTAGTGGGATCTGAAAGATACCCAGCATGAAAGCCAGAATAGAACCTAGAGTAGAGAGAGAGAGACAAGTGTGATGTGCCGGTGAGCAAGGGACTTAAGATTTTAGTGATATGAAAACAATACAGACGATAAACAGTCATGACAGCGTACCGGTGCTGACTCCACAGATGTAGTCGAACAGCTGGTGGATGCGCTTGCCGGTCATGTTCTGCAGTTTATAGAGAGTCTGCAGGGCCAGCAGTCCCCTGTAAGAAAAGGCACACAATTTACACACCTGGAGTAACAAAATGCAGCTTTAACATTTGATCTACTACACAGTAATATATGGAGGTAGTCTTGTTCCGTTGGCATGCAATACAAGCTCATTTTGTGGTTCTCTGTAGTGGAAAGAAGCGACATTGGTTCCCATGATTTGTGACTTCTGTCTGCATTTATAACAACACAAGTATGTAACAATATCTAAAAAAAGTAGCAAGAGACACATGCTTTTGACCCGAGATGAATAACATTTATATCTATCCACTATATCTTTACATTGCCCATAGTTCTTTTCTGTAGGGCTGCACGGTTTCGAAAAAATAACTAATTTCAATTATTTCGACTGATAATGCAATAGGATTTTCGATATTAGGAGATAAAAACATCATACCTAAACCCCTTCAGTAAAACACGGTTGTCAGGCTTTTTAATGCCACGCATGCTTCATTCCTAAATGGCCCTACCTTGTTCCGCCTCCGTCTATGGTCAGGACCCGTATTCCTCTGCCTTTGACTGGTTCGGCGTAGCCAATCAGAGCCAGAGCTTCTCTCACGGCAGCCTGAAGGGGGAGGTCTCTAGCCTGCCTCAGTCTCAGCAGGCAGGGCAGCACGCTCTCCTAAGAAGGTCACCATTTCTCAACACTTGATGACTGTGCAAACACATCAGACATGTAACAGAGCTGCATGGTTGTGACGGTGATACACACTCACCTTGATGGCAACACCTCTTGTCTCGGGGAACTCCAGGATGTGAAAGCTGAGCTCCTCCACTCGGCTGGTGAGGAGCTTGACATCATTCACTCTCTGCAGGCCTTTCACCAGAGACCGGGTCTGGCTGTCTACACTCACCCTGGCTATTATCTGCAAGACAAATACACACCATGCTTACTTACTTGTTTATATTGTGCATTTTTAACCTAGCGATTCATATCACATCAATGAAAACCATAGAAATAATTGTGATTAAGAATTCACTGCTCATTAGTGGCACGTATCCCCTTACCTTCTCTCTTTGAATTAACCGCTTTTGCTTATCTTTCTCCTCTTCACTGTCTGCTTTCTTTGCTGCTTTGTCCACAGTTGGCTCTTCAACAGCGACTGCTGAAGGCTTGTCTTTTGGAGCGGCAATGCTTTTCGAATCACCTCTGAACTTTGGGACCAGGGGTGTGATGTAGCTGCCGACGAACGCCTGAACGCTGGGTCGAGGGTAGGAGAGATAGTGGGTGAAGCCTTTTTTAGTGGAGGCAGCGGGCACAGGGATGGACTGAGCTTCACTTTCAGTCGCAGGGATGGCAGGGGAGGACGTCCCTGCTGGAGGAATGAGCTTGTCTGAGGGAGATGGAGAGGTAGTGGGTGCTTCAATACTTTTAGCCACTGGAGACAAAATAGGAATGTGGTCCTTAGTTGTAAGAGCGCTGAGAGTGGGCTCTGAAACAGGATCACCCCCTTCTCTGCTCTGCTGCAGTGGCCTGTTGTCTACTTCTTCCACTGGTGCACTGGTGCCAAAGTAACTATTGATGTGCAGAGCCAGAGTTGTGTACGTCTCATCCATGTTACTAGACAGAGCTGCTGGGTGAAACAGCTGTGATGTGTGTTTTGCCACAGAAGAGGAAGAGCTTAATCCTGATGTGGACTTCTTTGTGGCAACAAAAGGATTTTCTGTAACTTGCTGCTGCTGCTTGTCTGGCTCTTCCTCAGCTGTTTTACTCTCGCCTTCTGCTGCTTCTTTCATGGTGGTTTCAGGTGGCGCTGCTGTGTTGTTAGAGGACGAGGTCTCGGCTTTGGTCAGAACTTTTTCCACATGGGTGCTGCTGTCCACTGAGGCACTGCCAGGCTTGAAGCGGGAGAACTTGGAGATGAGGTCAGTGCTGCCTACTGCCTTGGTGACACTGTCCAATGTGGTCCTGATTCGCGACATGCGTTTGCTCACTGGGAACAGCAGTGGAGAACTAAGACTTTATCAGGCAACTGGATGATTCTGTTTTAAAATGATGCTGCATTCTGGCACACTTCCTGCCATCAGCTACAGTGGTTTAGTAGAAATTCCATTGTAGAGGGAAATAGGTAATTTCACAGCTTGTTCCGTCTCCTGAGAAAAAAAAAAGGACAATTTTAAACACGTTTTTATAGGAGCAAACTTAACTAGACGACAACTGGAAAGTAGGCCAACAGAGGGCTCCATTTGCCATGGTTAGTGCTAGATCGTATACCTCCTGGGTTTTAGGCGGCGGAAGTGACGTAATCGTGGATGAGAAGTCGGCCACTTTTGCAGCAACTGACTGCACATCTGGTAGTAAAAGTAGACACATTTAATGTAATTTTGCATGGGCTCTTCGTGACTCTGGAGTCCTGCAGGAATCCGGAGGACAGCGAACAGGAGTGAGAGGGAGCACACTCCTAAAAAATCTCCCCCTTTTTCTTTAAAAATAAATAAATAATAAACCTCGTACTGTGTGTGTCACTGTAATCCAAAATCCCATCTGTGCTTTTCTTCTTGTGAGATGTCATTTTTTAAATATTGGTAATAGCCTGCTGTCTTCCAAAGTTATGAATTCTCAAAATATTATATTTATGATATTTTTGTGGAAAAACTATGTAGTCATGTTCATCTCTTGTCCTGGGTGGCAGGTTACGTCACTTCCGCCTGAAACCCAGGATCTAGCACTAACCCATTTGCCACCCTACCCAACCTGGTAACCAAGGAAACTGTTGTTACAGCAACCAAAACAGATACTGTAAACAGCTAAACAAACTAACAACTCAAATCCTCTAGATCCCAGATAGGTTTTCACTGTAGCAAAGAGAAAATGGAAGCGGGACAACATCCAACACTGAAGATGAATTTAACAACAGAGTCAGCTCAACTTGTGAAGACTTTGCTGGACAAACAGCGCCACCCAGTCTCTCCTGACTCTCCTCCCAGTGAGATGAAGACTATAACCTGGGTTGCTATCAGAGACTTTACAGTGGAAGAGGGGAAAAGGCAGATTGAAGAGTACATTCAGACCTGGGAGCTGCTGCCCTGCTGGCTCCACAGCCTGGACTTCCTCTGCTCCACCGAGAAGGAACATAACACCTTCTACCACTACCGGGCCCGCTTCAGTACCACGACCTGGAGGAAGCCCATTCAGGGGACAGCTAGCGTGTATTTCGTGGTGTACATCCCTAAAGTTAGACCCCAAACTCTGCCCGTGGAGGTGCACTTTGCGGTGGAGTCAAACCGGCTGATGCACACCCCCGGGAGGACCAGGTTCAGAGAGGGGTGGCTGGTGGATGTCATTGATAGCAAGACCCTGCTCCGAAAAGCGGTCAACCTTTGAACCAACAGCCGAACAGCCGAGAAATTGACAATGTGTGGGTCATTCCCAAAGCGAACGGTATATCCAACGGGCTAACTGCTAGCATTTCACTTGCAAGATATTGCTTTGAACTCTTATTCGCCCGAAATGAGAAACGTTATAAACCCACTTCGATATTATTATCATTTACGATGTCTTTATTTACTGTTTATTACATCTGTATTTACCTATATATGCCCAAACAATGCACCTTATATGCTTCTAAATATGCACCTTATACAAAGATATGTATACATTATACAATTGATGTGAATTCATTGAAAACAATTGATGTGAATTCATTGAAAACACTTCAATACTCTTTCTAATCCTCTTATCTAAAAACTGAATGAAAGTAAGGAGAGACAATACACACCAACTGTTAGCTAACTAGCCTAGTTACCTACCAGTTTTTCCTCTAATTTATCTCTTACGTGCACGTTTTGTTGGACTTCAACTGTGACTGTAACGTTAGCTACCGGTAAGATAACGCTAGCTTTAGATAACGTTAAAGCAAAGAACGAAACTGTTTGTGTTTGACAGCAAGCCCGACATTTTCAAAGGAAAAACACGTCATGTTTAAACTTCAAAGCTAGTGTTAGCTTGCCTAGCACACACATGAAACCGTTAGCCTAACGTTAGCCTAACGTTAGCCTTTTAATAGAGAATATATTGTTATTGTGTCGAATTGTAAGGCAATGTCACACAATTAAACAGAGTTTGTCTTACCATAAGAAACAGATGCCGTTAAATATATGGCCAACGTATTTCTTTCAGTTAGATGCTGGTATGTAGTTGTGTTTACGTTAAATGGAAAAGATAAACAGGAAGAAGAGAGGAAGTGACGCAGTTCCCTAGACGTTTTCAGTGCAATGCCTTGTTTATGCCACTCGGTGTCGACAAAGCCTCCATGGAATAAAAACTATTTCACTGCAACACAAGTGATTGCAATTTTACGATAGAAAGAATCAACAGCAACGTTTAAAATTTAAAGATTAAGACAGAGTTGTACTTGCGGAGTAAACTTTATTGTTCTCAAGGAGACATTTGTATTGGGCAAATTGCTACTGTCTGTTGTTTTGTTTCTTTATGCAGGAAAACATCACAAAAAACCCACAAAACATAGATACATTTGCCATGGACAAGAAGGAAGCTTAGAATTAAAGTGCTCATGTTTGCTGTACTGCATTAAGATGTAACTTTTGGGTTCAGCATGTGGAGGCTGAAACCAATGATAGCTTCAAGGTTTAATATGCACTCAGGCACACAAACTCTTTGAACTGATGGAAGTCCTAGCTCCTAATCTTCCTCCTATTACCCTCATCTGCTTGTAAGTCTGTATCTAATGATGCTCTCTCTGATCAGGCGGCTCACTCCATACAGCCGCAATCCCTTAGGTGTGTGGTTTATAGAAGAGCAACATCTCTTGTTCGAAATGCATCTTTGAAGACCTGTATTTGAGTTATAAAAATCCAACGTTTTATTAATAACTAATGTATATTAACTGGCTCTTTCTCAAATAACATGTATGCACATGAATCAACTCCTTTTGTTCATAATGGCCTTCAGGTCAAAATAATTCAAAAGCTGATGTAGTGCTTTATGACTCAAGCCAATGTTCCTGCTGATAATGATAATGATATACAATCTGACCGGAAAGCAGAAAAATGCCTGCCATGGTAAAGGTTAACAAGCATCATGTGGAGATGCCTTTTCAAAAGCATCGTGAGTAGCATTTTTACACAATACATACAGCTCAAGGTATACATTAAGAGCTCTTGTAAAGGACAAACAGCTGGGGTCCACAGGCAGCAGAAAATAAAGGACATGATGGAGGCTGGATAATGGATACTGAAATACAAAAATTGTTTTCTGATTCATGCACATGAACACCTTATTATCAAGACTAAGAAAGTATCCATGGTAACTGCTAACACATACTGTGATGAACACTTTATATGACAAGTATACATAAAAAAGCTTTCGAGGAGTGATTCCCAACCACTTATATACAACCTTTTTCCTACTGTTTTTATAGTTTCATATTTTATTGATGTTCATTTTTATATTTTATTTTATTTCCTTTTTATCACCACTGTAAAATGTCTTTGAGCACCTGAAAAAGCGCGTAGAAATCAAATGTATTATTATTATTATTATTATTATTATTATTATTATTATTATTATTATTATTATTATTATTATGTTTAATATTTTCTCCAGTGTATAACAAAAGCCAAGGAGAAAAACAAATAAACTGCTCAACTGACACAACACAAACAACACAAATAACTCTGTTGGATTTATTATGTTTTTTCAATATCTTAACGTATAATAGCTTTTTATAATAGTTTGTGTTTTACTTGGTTGTTTTTCTTACTTTGAATCTTCTTAAACTGCACCAGGGGAAATTCCTCGTATGTGTAATTCTACTTAATCCTGTTTCTGATTCTGATTTGGTACATTCTAGTCTTTCATTTCATATGTTCGTTTGTGTATAAACCTGACGCCTATACAAGCAGCCGTCACTGACCCCCCCACTGCTCCACTCCTTACAAGTCCTTGGCTTGGTCCTTCAATCAGCTGTCACTTGCAATACGCGCGCAAAGGAAGACACATGTCGAGATGCCTCTGCGCCAACTCCGCTATATTCCAAACAACCGGAAAACATCAGGAAATCAGTAAATGAAATGGGTTTGGGCAGCAACAGCTCAGAAAAGCCCCCCGCTGATGGTGGAGAGGTGTACACGCGTGTTGCGCTCATCAGAGCCGGAGTATTGGGTTTGGTGTTTGTGCTTGCAACTTATGGAAACCTTTTCTTCTTGAGCACACTTTGGAAGAAGCGGAAGAGAAACACAAGGACCCAGCTGTTCCTTTTACACCTGTGCTTGGCGGATCTGGTGGTAGCTTTTTTCCAGGTCCTACCTCAGTTTCTCATGGAAATTACGCACAGGTTCCATGGCACGGACTTCCTGTGCCGGGCTGTTAAATACCTGCAGGTGGTCGGGATGTTTGCCTCCTCATACATGATAGTGGCCATGACTATAGACCGGTACCACGCGGTCTGTAAGCCCATGGTTTCCTTCATTAAGAGCTCGTTTAGGAGATACCTCTCCATAGGCGCAGCGTGGCTCATCTCTCTCGCCCTCAGCTCTCCTCAGATCTCCATTTTCTCTCTCCAGGAGGTGGAGGAGAACCAGTTCGACTGCTGGGCTACATTTATAGAACCGTGGGGGAACATGATCTACATCACCTGGATAACTGGGGCAGTGTTCGCCCTGCCTGCAGCCATTGTGCTCTATTGCCAAATAAGAATATGCACCACCATCTACTTCAACATGAAGAGAAAGGCTCTGCAGGCAGGGCGCGCGGGCACGAGAGGGGTGTCCAACGCCATGCTGAAGACTGTGAAAATGACTTTTGTTATTATAATGACATACACAGTGTGTTGGAGCCCTTTCTTTTTTGTCCAGTTATGGTCTGCATGGTTCCCCAGCAGTGCGCCAACTCAAGGTGAGTCTTCAAGATGTAAGATGTCTGCATCTTTATATGTAATACGTCAACATGTTATATTTAAAAAACAAGGCAATACATGTAGGTTAATGCACCTCAGATCAGTTTGACACATCTTACTGTCTCTCTTCCTCTCACAGGTCCAGTGTTTGCCATCATCATGCTGCTGGCCAGCCTCAACAGCTGCACCAACCCCTGGATATACGTTTACTACAGCTAAAAGGGAAAATAAAGAAATGCATGACACACACTGAAACAGAGGTTCATACCCCACTGAGATCTGGGGGAAAAAAGGGTTAAACAATGAAGTTTAAAACAAAACAAAAACGTAATTGGGATGTAAGACGAATATCACAAAGATGATCACTTACGTGTCTTTTTATGTTGTAAGACGAGTCCCTCTTCCACAAGAAGTCAATCACAATATTCAATTTGGTAAGAAAAATATATATTCGTTTTTTTAATTCTTTCTCTTTTGATCAATATTGGAGAGAAATATTTAACACATTTTAAACCTGTTTTACTGCTTATTTTCTGAAGTATGGGACATAGGATACCATTTAGTAAGCAAGTCCCTCTGGCACCTGCAAAAAATGTAAAAGTGAATTTATCAAGGTTTAAAATCAACATACACCTCTAAATGACTCTCGTAAATAAATGTCAATGTCCTTATGAAGAACAGAAAACAATATATTGGGATGATATCAAAGGATATGTCACCTTGGTTTAAATATGTGTAGTTGTTGTATATGCATTATAGATCTCAGCTGTTTCGTATATATCTGTTTGACAGCATTTTGTCAATGAATGTTTCAGTGTTGGAAAAAATAACCTGTTTTATATGTTAGTAGAATGTTTTGTGAAACAAGGGAACACATGGTGCTTATAGCAGCAATGACTTTGAACAGACTACAATGCCAAGACTTTCAAAAACAATCTGCATAAAAAGTAAAAAAAACTTTTCAGAAAAATGACTGTACATATTAGACAGAAATAATGTATCTTTTGATGTTCGATAAATGTTTTTTAATGTAATTAAAGTGTAAACCGCACCTTGGTTATTTGCCTTTCATCCTTCCTTCACTTAATTGTTTTCCTTTAAATTTCTTAAGGGTTAAAATGGACTTTTATCATGAGACCTGGCTCTAGTCTTTTTTTTTTAAAGCCCAGTCAGTTTGCTATTGTAATGATATGAACATTTAATTCCTTAGTGCTTTTTCAATGATCATATTTGTCATTTCCCTGGCTGTGTTTGGCAGTTGTTTATGTTGTGCATTTCCACAAAAAAATATGTGAATAATTACAGTTCCATACTTGAGATCAAGACCTGCACTTATCTCTATAGAAGAAGATTGAAGATTGAAGAAGACGTGTTGTTTGTCTGCCGGGATTCCGAGCAATATGATTACAACAATTTCATTTCATTACAGATTAATGGGAATCCATATTCGGAATCCTTGCTGGGCCCTGGGTCACTGTTGGCCGGGGAAATGCATCGACTCCTAACCTTCTCCTGTGTATTTGCATTGGCGTTTCAAACCAATTAAGCTTCCCACCTGCCTCCATCACAGTAAGTATTAGAATAAAGCCCTGCCAACATCACCATGCCTCCATCATGAGAGCCTTTTAAGCCGGAATCATGATGCAGAGCGGTGACGTTATGCTTGTTCAATTAAAATCACAATAGGTGTTTTCTTCTTTCTTTTGTCACGACCACAGTAATTTTTTCTATTTTCATCACAGGTGAAATATAGTCACTATCCACTCAACAGTGTTTTACAGATGGTGCGAGCAGCGCCTACAGTACAGAGACAGCCTTTGGCACATTTCATTCAGGAAAGCTGCTTCAAATAGGATTAGGTATCTCACTCGGCCAAAATGCTATGATGACTATTTCAGAACCCAAGGGGGTGGAAGGTGGGAGATAAATCCTAACTGGTTCAAGGGGGGGGTTAACACAATCCCAAGGGGCATAGGGGACAGCGCACATGCTTTAAGGAAGACATTTACAAGCACACTTCAACAGATTGTTTTCTGAATCAGAACGTTTTAGTATATTTTTGGGGAGATTGCAGAGAATGGAAATGATTTGCAGCCGTGAAATGAAATGAGCGTCTGATTTCAGGGACATGATTGTTAGTGATTTAAGGACAAAGGACTCGGTTGTTTGAAGCATAGTCAAAATAAATGTTCCCATTAAGACAGCAAGCTCTCCTGCGAAAGGAGTCCCCTTTCATGGCAATTTTTCTATTTGTTGCATTAAAATCTGGAAATGAATATGTATTTTTGAATTGATTGTTATTAATGGTCCTGCAAAATATAGTAACAAATAAATCTTTTTAGGGTACTATTTTTTTAAGATTCTTAAAGCAATGTTTACATTTGCATTTTCATATTTGTATTCATTTTGAACCCAAATAAAAGTCACTTTAAGCACTGTTGCTTTTACAGATAAGTAAATACCAAAGCTTGAGAGCAAATTATTTTTTCCATTTGTGTATCAAGGTATTAAAAACGTTTCAGACATGATTCATGGTTTGTCAATAAATTAGGATTATGTATTGATCAAAAACTGAGACACAATCATGTACAAACTGTAAGCATGTAACAGATCTCAGATATGCATCAGCGGAATCAGATTACATCTACACCCCCTGTGAAGATGGTCAAACAGTGCCACCATGTGGACAAAAACTGAATACAATATACAACAAGCCTATTATACAGCAGTCATTTAGACTTTTCATAGCAGGAAAAAGAACAGATGTTATGAATAACATTACAGTATTTATAATTACAGTGACATGCCAAAATGTCTGCTGTGAAAAATAACTAATATGGTTATGAGACCATTAGTATTAAAAGCAGTAGTGATATGACTGTATAAATAGTTTATGCAAGTACAAGTATTGCATTTAAAGTCCAACTTAAGTAAAAAAGTATTAGCACCAATGTATACTTAAAGTACCAAAAGTAAAAGCACTCGTTATGAAGGACTGTCCGTTTTAGGGAATAGATCTATTTTACCAATACAGTAAAATGATGGATTATAGTTATTTATGAATTCTGTTGTCAGCAGAATAATGTTGAAGTTGTTGATGGGGAAATCTATAAGAATTCCCCATCATGCATTACTTTTATTTATATTTTATGGTAGTATAAAGTAGCAGAAAATGGAAATACTCAAAGTACAAGTACCTTAAAAATGGTGCTTGAGTACAAAACTTGAGTATGTGTGCTTAGTTTGAATCCACCCCTGTATGGGAGCATGTGTAACATTAAATATCAGCAAGTCGCTCAATGGTAACAATTGAAACCCATGCTCATCAGAGCAGCATGGATGAGATATAATCTTCTAAAATGTTCTGCTTCTCTTTAAAAACGCCACCGTCTTTCTTCAGGAGGGCTACCTCTGTCTCCAGAGCACTGATCTTGTCCATGGTGCTCACTTCCCTTTCGTCCAATTCCAAGATCTTTGCATGCAAACTCAAGATCTTTTGCCACAGCTGATCCTTGTCCGTGTCCGGCCTGCAGTACGAGTGCTCGTAAACAGAAATGTGCTCGAAAAGGCTGGGTCTCTCCTCTGAAAAGCAAGCGTTGGTTTGGTCCATGACTATTTCCACAGGGACGAAGCTAAAAGCCTGGCCCAGAGCGGTTTGGAGGGCAGCTGCGTCCACATGTTCCTCTCCTTCTGAGAAAGGGCCCAGTGACTCGCAGCACAACACAGTCACAATGGATGGAGCCTGCTCTTCAGGATGAGGCTCATCGCATCGGGACAGTGTGAGGCACGATGCTTTCGGCATGCCACTGTCACCTGGTAACTCACCAGCAGCAGTTTGTGTCTCGTTTGAAGGACAGGAGATGAAAGTGTCCGACACCAGAGGCGATTCAAAAATCATCCCAGTGTGCTCAGCTTCAATGCCGTTTGTTGTATTTGACTGGACCTTTTTGCATGTTCTACTCAAAATGAGTGGCTTAGTGCTGAGAGGAAAGTCAAATCCTTTGGTTTCAGTGTCAATATCTAAAGTCTTGCGTTTGGCCTTAGGGCTTCTTTTAATGGTGGTAACCTTTTTGTCTGCATCCTGGGATAAAAGAAGATAAGTCTGGTCAATCACAGGCAATACACAATAATAGAAAATGAAGAAGAGGCTTGTTGCCCACCAGAAACTTGCGGGAAATACGTATTTCTCAAAGTGAAAGCGCTTGTACTTCTACTTGGGCTCCAATTTGAGCAGAAAATGTTGAAATAAATACCATTAAGTTGGTTCAAAGCTAGGTTTATAATGTGCAGCAAGCCATTACTTCATGTGTGAACTGTAAAGGATGCTGAGACAGGGAAACAAAGACAGATACGTACATCCCCACTGGAGGGAAATTCAGTCGGGATGGCTGTGTTCTTCAGGTAGCGGATGCCCCATCGGATATCGAAGCAGTCCTCTGTAAAATGCTCGCTGCACAGGTACTGATGGCGACTCGGGGCCCATTCTTCCCGCTTCATGTTGTCCACCCATTTCTGCAGCCTGGTCTTGTCTTGTAAGGGAAAGCTTTGAGGGAAGGAACAACAAACAATTAAAAGGCTTGTTTGAAAATGAAACTTTTCATGGTTTCAGTATTAGTTGTCACTTGAATGTCATTTATAAGGTTATCATTACTTACATAGCTTGTAAAGTGTCTCCTGTTCTATAACCCACAACAGTTTGCACAACTTTGCATAATTGTAATGTTTATATAATCCAATTTCAATATGTGTCTGTAGTTTATTTCTATATATTTCTGTAGCTTAGTGAGAATGTTTATTGTAGAGTATTTAATTTATTCAATATTTTCATCATATTCTGTGTTAGGGAATAATTTGCTTAGGTATTCAACCTTCGACCCAGTTCATTGTTTTCTCTCTTCACTGTCTCTTTTCCCGTGGCATAGGTCTACGGCCTTGGGTATTGCTGCTATCTCTCAGGAGGAGCAGCTTGGGCGCATTGTTGTTGCCAGTCTATGACAGAGCACAAGCCGCCATGAGGTAGTTTACTGTTCAGGGACGAAGGTTCCCTGGCGCACATTCTTTTCTATGGACGAGAGCTCTAGTTAGATTCAGGGTCCATAATTGTTTAGTCTCACTGATGAAGAATGTTGATTATTACACTCCGAACTAGTTAAAACCTCGAGCTGCAGAAGAGTTCTTCAGAATTGGTTTGGCAACCGCTGTGTCAACTCGTGACACACCACCTGTCTTGTCAATTCTCAGGCCGTAACTCCAAATAAACCACCAGTGTTTGCCATCAAAGCTCCAGCTCTCCTCGTGTCTCTCAGTCCTGTTTCCAATTGCTTCAGAAGTTTCCCCCACATTCTGTATTATTGAGATACTCTAGTGATATGTGTCCTTTCTATTGTGAATTTGTATTTGCTGCTAATGTTAATTTGTATTATACTTGCTGCTATTGTTAATTTGTATTTTAAATATGTTTAACTCGTGTAATGCTAAACACTGCTGCTGTGACAACATAATTTCCCAATTTGGGATAAATTAAGCATCTATCAATGTATCCATTACTCCACATTCACTACATCAGTCTCCCCTTATACCTTTGAACTAGGTAGTTATAAACAAATTATATATTATTGACATGACATTACATGGTAATTTATCCCTGCGACAATAACTCATATTATCTTTGACCAAAGATGCTAAGGATAGCAGAAAAGAAGCACTTGCAGCTGAACCAAACAAACATTTAAACTCAGAGAAACAATAGAAAGAAAACAACCAACATACGGGTAGAAGCTGATTCTCTTGTTGTGTGGTCTGGGTGTAGTTCCCCCGCGGTTTCTGCACACCTTCACGGCGCAGTAACGGGGCATATCTGCTGAGAAACTGCATGAAAACGATTCACATAAACACGTTTGTTGCTAACATTTTTCAAAACACAAACCAGCCCGTGAACAGCCACTTCCGGGTTGTAGCACCACTCAGCGGAGATGAGGTTTATTCCGTTCTTTCATCAAGATAGTTACCATCTATGATTACAAAAGGTTGCATAACAGAATCAGAAACCCGTTATTACTCCCACAGCGGGGAAAATACAGTTTTACAGCAAAAGTTGAATAAGTAAAACAACAATTCATGACATAATAAAAAAGTAAAGCACACATTAGTAATAAAATAAAAATAAAAGTACACAAGCATGGCACAAAACACGAGTAACAGCAGTTTAAGTAAACGTAGTGACATAAATAGCATATTAAATTATTGTGAGCTTAAACAAGTGTTGGGACATGTATAATTACGCCGTACAAATGCAGATAGTGTTTGTATTGCACATCGCAGGTTTATTGCACAAAATGTGGAATAAATCAAATGTTACAAGAATGTGTAGGTACATTCATTACATATTTCATACAACAAAACATTTAGAAAGTAAACATATTAACAAAATAACATATTTCCAGGGCTGAAAACATGTTTGGGTGTCATTACTTAATTAAAAATGACAGAATATCACCACAAAGCAAAGCAGGAAGTACGAGCAGATTACCCTCCTCCTTCCTTTCGGACTATCCCCATGCTCCACGTGCGCACTGTGTCCACCAATCACAGTGCACCGAGTCACTTTGTTGAGAAATGGACCAATGGCGTTGCGAGTCGTGGTGTTACGGGTCTGGAATGCGGCTCGTCAACAACCGCTAGCTTTTGTTGCACATCAGCTGGAGCTGTCCGCGGCTGATCGAAGTATCCTCAGGCTGTTTGTCACCTCTTCTCCAGGTAATCCTTATTTTTCAAGTAAACATGACCTATTACTAGTCCTGGGTAGTTTACCTGCAACTGAGCATAACAGTGGAGTATTATTAACAAGCGGTTTTATGTCAAAACTGGTTTACATTCCTGTGTTATTCCACAAAAACAGTTTCATGTTCTTGGGAACCAACGCCTTTCTGTTGAAACTAGCTATGTTTTTACGTCATAAAACATGTATTCAGGTTGTTAATTGAAGCTAGTATCTGAACATTAGTGTTTAAAAGTATGTCAAAACTGGGTGACATTACTGTGTTGTTTTACAAAAACAGTTTAATATTCTTGGGAACCCTAGCCTTTCTGTTGAAACTAGCTAGCAAAGTAATGTTATTACGCCATAAAAGGTTATGGTTTTGTAGGTTATGCTGCATGTGTGCTAAAAGGTTTTAACGTCTGGCCTGATGTAAAATTAAAGTTTTAAATTGTGATGTGTGCCTTGTTAAAGCACTTTGAGCTGTACCTGGTGTATGAACAGTGCTATCAAAATAAAGCTTATTATTAGTAGTATTATTAAAACCTTTATTGAAGTTGGTATATGAAGCAAGTATGCGAACATTAGCGTTTTAAAGTGTTTCTGAAAGTCTTTCCAGTGTGTGAAATGTGGTTAACCGAGCTGTCAAACTGCTCTCTTCACAGAAAGGTGCCAGAAGCAGCAGTATGGCCACCGCGCAGTGTGTGTTGCTGCTAGCGGTGCACATCCTGCTCATCTCAGAGTTCATCCTGGCCAATGGGGACTACTACGAGATACTGGGGGTGCCGAAAGAAGCCACGGAACGCCAGATCAAGAAGGCCTTCCACAAGCTGGCCCTGAAGTACCATCCGGACAGAAACAGGGGCCCCAACGCAGAGGCCAAGTTCAGGGAGATAGCAGAGGGTAAGCCACTGTGCCCTTACATGACTATAGGAAACTACAAAACCGTCAAATTCAAAGTCAACTTTATTGTCAATCTTTCAGTTTTTGTGTACAGACGGAGAGATCAAAATACCGTTTCCCACAATCCCGAATACAATAAAAAAAAATATATAAACATATGTATACAAATATGTATATATATATATATATATATATATATATATATATACACAATCAACAGACACATTTTTACATTTGCACACATTAAGACATAAATAAAAGCACAACAATCAATATATACAAAATAACAGTCACTTCAATAACTTTGAGAAAATTATAGGAATGTCAACGTTTTTCATATTTCAGGGGTTTTTCTAAAAGAATACCTTCTCTGAAAACCATGAGTCACTCTTAAAAGTGATAATAGCCTGTTACTGTTATTATCATGACGTGACATATGCTATCATGATGACACACCCTCTCATCTTTAATGGGCCTTATTAAAGAAAATAAACTAACTAACTAACGGTGGCTAACTAGAGTAATTCTATTTAGGTGGCCTCAAAAGGAAAACATTGCTCTCATTATTTCCATAATGAATTCATCTCCTGATTATTTTTTAGATGAAATGTCAGAATAGGAGAATGTGCAAAAAGTATGTCAAATATTTTTAAAAAATCATGTCGAAAATATGCAAAAAAACGACATAGTACATTATATAGAGAAAATAAATAAATAAAGAATTTGTTAATTAATGTCACATCAGCAATTTTATTGAGTTGAACCAAATTATTAGTTCAGCCTAATTAATATACCTATACCTATACCAACAACTCAATAAAATAATATTATAACATTATTACGTTTAGTATGTCTAAAATATCAGAAAAAAAGAATGTCGAAAATGTGCAAAAAACGGCATAGTATAGTATCAGAAAAAAGGAAAAAATGGCCATCCTGGTTTCCTGAATTCAAGGTCATGCTTTTAAATGTCTTGTTTTGTAAGTCCAAAACCAACAAGTATTCTGTTTAACATAAATATAATACAAACTAAATATATAAACAGATGAAAAAAGGTACATTTAGAGGCTCAAAATGTTGCTTTTTATGCATGAAAAACAATTGATTAATTAAAATAGTTGTAATTTCTTCTTTCTCTTGATCAACTTATATTTTGCAGCAGTCCTTGTTTTTAATAAATAGATAATAAATGTACCTCTACATTGATCAAAATTGAACTTAAAGGGTTAAAACGGTCTGAAACCGAATTAATGCGTGAAGTAATGCGTGTTTGTCTCTCGCAGCATACGAGACGCTATCCGACGACAAGAAGAGGAGAGAGTACGACCAGTTTGGCCACGGCCCGTCAACAGGGGGGGGGCATCAAGAAGGAGGAGGCGCCTACAACTTCAACCAGCACTACCAATCCTTCAACTTTGACGACATCTTCAAAGACTTTGACACTTTTGGTCAGCGACACCAACACCACTTCCACTCCCAAAACCAAGCCCACCAAAAGAGACACTTTGACAGCCACTTCCAGGCCCACCGGGAGGCTGCCAGCAGACAGAAGAGACAGGGGGGCTTCGGGGGGGGACTCTTTGATGACATGTTTGAGGACTTGGAGAAGATGTTCTCCTTTAACACGCACACTTCCAGGACTGACAGCAGGTTCCAGGGGAAGCAGCACTGCAGGACAGTGACTCAGCGCCGGGGCAACATGGTGACCACCTTCACCGACTGCTCCTGAGACCACCACCCCGACAGAGGACAGCCTCTCTTTGTGGTTTTGAAATTGAATGCTAATTTATCACTTGGTTGAATAGAGAATGGGTTTGTGTGGCTTTGTATGTAATATCCTCTCAGAACAAATTACAAGCTGACCTGATGAAGGGCTGCTTCTAAGCAATAACTCACTCATTATTGCTCCTCGCACAATCCATTATTTAGTTTTCCAGGTTCATTATGTTTACTTATGGTGGTACAATCTATTAGACTCAGGTATGGCCTAATGTTAATCTATTGCTTTTCTCTTTATGAGCAATAAGTTATATTTAAGCGCCACAGAAACATTAATTCTGCAGCTATTCAGGCCATACTATTACTGCTGTAAACTCAGCATAGTGTACTCTCAACTACATTTTCTCTTAGTTTCCATTTATTATCTTAAACAACATAATATTTTTGATGTATGGCACTTGCATCAAATATTTCTGTGAAACTGGAGCTTCACATCCTGAGTGGTGTGCCATTATCAACTGTTACCTCGTTTTAGGTTCTTCCTACAGAGATGCATCTACCTTCCCTTCAGTAGGAGAATGAACATCAGTCACATGACTAATGCTGGTAACTTAGCAACAGGAAGTGTGTGTCCTCTCTCGGCTGTGTTGCTGGGATGGTTCCACACGCCTGGGCTCATTTACCGGTGAAGCTGAACGGTCTGAAAAGTTTCCTAAACTGATCATAACGTGCAATATTTAGCACCTTTGCTCTTCATGTTGCCTATCTGTCATAGACATGTCATTGTCTTATGTCCGCACTTTGTATACGTGAGTGTATGTGTGAGTTTGTGTGTGTGTGTGTGTTTGCCCACCGAGAGTGGCCTGAGTGTTGATTGGTTGCATAATGTTTGAAGAATGAATAAAAAAGTTTAAAAAGAAAATGTGTGTTTTATAATCGGAGGGGAAAAATTGGAGAACTGTGTTGGAAGTAAACAATTGGTCTGAATAATCACAAAAGATTAACTATTTCTGTTATATTACCATCCATCCATCTTCTCCCGCTTATCCGTGGTCGGGTCGCGGAGGTAGCAGTTCCAGCAGAGAGCCCCAAGCGTTCCTTTCCCTGGCCACATCAACCAGCTCTGACTGGGGGATCCCAAGGCGCTCCCAGGCCAGCGAGGAGATATAATCCCTCCACCTGGTCCTAGGTCTACCCCTTGGTCTCTTCCCAGCTGGACGTGCCTGGAACACCTCCCTAGAGAGGCGTCCAGGTGGCATCCTTACTAGGTTCCCGAACCACCTCAACTGGCTCCTTTTCGACGCGAAGGAGGAGCGGTTCAACTCCGAGTCCCTCCCGGATGACTGAACTTCTCACCTTATCCCTAAAGGAGACGCCAGCCACCCTGCGGAGAAAACCCATCTCGGCCGCTTGTATCCGCAATCTCGTTCTTTTTCGGTCATGACCCATCCTTCATGACCGTAGGAACAAAAATGGCCCGGAAGACAGAGTTCTGTTGTACTACAGAAATATTAATCTCTATAAAAATATAATTTTACCTTTTCATTTGAATACTGTTGCCTTACATTTGTGTAATGCAATTTTGTATAATTTTATTTTCACTGCTTGACTGAGGGTTTTAAATACCTAACATTAAGCATTTCAACATGTTTCAAAATGTCATTACTTCCAAACAAAAAAATAAACAAAAAAATACAAATAACATTAAAAAAAATACATACACAAAATGTAAAGAATAATTAATTAAAACAGTTGTAATCTCATAATATTGCATCCCCTACTCATACTTGCAACAAACACACTTTGTTATTCCAGTTTTGCTAAATTCACAATATTTTGAAAGAGGCAGATTGTTGGAGAACAATGCAATATATTACAATTGCAAGTTCTTGGAATCCAGCTTTTAATATCCCCACCCCAAGTCTTTTTAAATCTAGAAAAGTGCCAAAAGGCAAATGTATGTGGGAGTCACTCTGAGGAAAGCATTATAAACATTTATCTGAAGAGTTGGCGTCAGACTCATATAGTTTGTCCCTACAATCCATTCCTGTAATTCATGTAGAATTATATGTAGATTTTCATTTGGGGTAATTTTACATGACATTCCTTCCATTTTTCTTTTGCGCAGATGCTATTTGTATTACATTTGATCAAGCTTTTGGAACGACACTATGTAAAATATTGTGCATGCAGAAAGTGAGTTACCATTCAGTCCTTTTTGCCAACTTGCTGTTTCAGATTGACTCCAGTAGAGAGCGTACTGTGACAACAGGAAGGCAACTGTGAGGGGGAATGGCAGCTGAAAAAGAGTTATATTACAGGATGAAGAGCATATTGACATCTACAATAGAAAGAAGTTTAAAAACTCAAAGGCTAAATACAACATTTACACTGATATGCTAACCATTCATTTCTTACGAGTTCCACCAGTCATGGGAGTTTTTTTTGTTTTTTTAATGGGACCAGCACATGATAAAGTGGAGGAATCTTTTTGCCTCCAGCAGCTTGTTCATGAGATCCGGTATCGGACAAATCAAAGACAATCTGGAGAAATTGCGTGCCAATCCTTTTCAACCTTTCAAGCCTGATCACCACAACTGTAGCATGACCAATGAAAGTAAACTGTTACTAACAACGTTTCCAAGCCTCATTGCAGTGACATTTATCCAACAGATGTGAGGTTCAGCCGTATTCTGGTCAGAAGTGCACTTTGACTATGCTCATACATAAAATAACTACTCACCGGGTACTGTATTGTTAGGCTTTGTCGAGCATAACCACATTTATTTTAGATATTAGCTATCCACACTTTGCAAATGTGTTGTGCATCATCAGGAAGCCCTTCAACACTTGATTTATGGAGATTCGTCTCACGAGTCACTGATATTAATCATGATTGTATCTCTTGAACTCATGATCTTACTGACAGTATCTGCTGAGCTTGTAACCTTTCACTTTTCAAAGATATTTTGAAAGGTCAAATATTTGTAATAACTGTCCGATATCAGGGCAAACATTCCTTCTTTGGTTCACCAGTCCTTGTTTAACCCTTGTATGGTATTCAGGTCTGTGGGACCCATTTTCATTATTTAGCTAAAACCCACAAAAAAAGAGTAGCACTTTAATTCATTAATGTGATCTAACAAATGTAAAAGGACAAATATTAACCATATATGCTGTAATTGAGATGAAGTAAACATCTGTTGAGTATTTTAACATAAAATAGTTTGATTGTGTTGAATTGAAGCCGGACCCACGAACACTGGCTGAGTAACAAAAATATGAACATCATACAAGGGTTAAATAACAATTAGCAACTTTGTGAGAATGAGGTAGTTGAGACCTGATTGTTTCATAAGTAATAGTCCTGCCTGTTAGCATTTGAGGTAATGTCAGCTAAGATGTGCTTTGCCCAAAGATGGTACTTTTTGTGCTTCAGTGTAAAAACTGCTTATCACAACAATATGTGCACTCAACTTTTGTTCTACTTTAAAACAGAATAATCCATTACTCCCAACAGTGGACATATCCTCAGTCATCGTATCATCTGCGTTTGCTGAATCTGAGCCAGAATACAGGGGCGATATTTTGGTCAAAGTTACAAAACGTTAACTAAAAAGCTTAACTGTCGCTAAAACCTGATGGGTGCTGAGGTTTTATTTTAATCTCTCCATGCTGACTGTTCACCTGCATGCAACCAACACCCGCTCAAATGTGATTGGGCAATCCTCCTACACTGAAAACGGTGAGGGGATCACACCAGCGGCCCAATTGATTGTGTATATATAGGATATACATATTTTAATATATATTTGTATTTTTGTATTCGGGATTGTGGGAAAAGGTATTTCGATCTCTCTGTCTGTACACACAAACTGAAAGATTGACAATAAAGTTGATTTTGACACACACAGACAGACACAGACGCAGACGCAGACGCAGACGCAGACGCAGACGCAGACGCAGACGCACGCACGCACGCACGCACGCACGCACGCACACACACACACACACACACACCATGGACGTTAACCTGCTCATGCACAAACTCTTAATAGATTATAACTATGTTTTATTCCAGAGCTTCAACTTTGTTTCTTAATGAGAAATATTACAATTAAATACTAAATAAAAAGAAATGCAAAGAATTTGTAAATTATATTAATAATAGTAAAGAAATAATAGAAACCACAATATCAGAGGTTTTAAGTAAGATTTAGCCTTTAGTGGAAATGTTGTGTTCATTTCATTATTTTTTATTAAATAAAACACTAGCTGTATCTATAACTTTCTAATATGCAATGTAACAGAGCAAGTGTAATATTGTCAAATGAAAAACAATATTTAAAGTTTGCTATAATCTACCAACCCAGTCCTTGTATCAACAAATATGAATGAGTGTACTGAAATTACCCTAAGGTGTGTTTTATTGCATAGTCCACTCATTCATAAGAGAAAGAATGGGTTATTTCTTCTTCAATAATTAAATCGCTTACAAAATTATGTAAAACGCAGAACTGACCACACATTAAAAACACTTTGGTCCTCTCCTGATCATATCTTAATCAACCGGTTTCTAGGGTCCTACTGTAAAAGCAATGAAAGCACTTATCACTTTAACACAGACTGCGTCCTCTTGGCTTATCAACTACTATCAATGACTTGCAATAGCAACATTTCTGCTGATTCATTCTCCTCTCTGACGCATATTTATTTCCACGGGATATTCCTTGATTACGATGAAAGACAAAACAAGATATGTGCACTCAACTTTTGTTCTACTAACAGAATAATCCATTACTCCCAACAGTGGACATATCCTCAGTCATCGTATCATCTGCGTTTGCTGAATCTGAGCCAGAATACAGGGGCGATATTTTGGTCAAAGTTACAAAACGTTATGGCCAAAGCTTAATCTCCATGCTGACTGTTCACCTGCATGCAACCAACACCCGCTCAAATGTGATTGGGCAATCCTCCTACACTGAAAACGGCGAGGGGATCACACCAGCACACACACACACACACACACACACACACACACACACACACACACACACACACACACACACACACACACACACACACACACACACACACACACACACACACACACACACACACACACACACACACACACACACACACACACACACACACACACACACACACACACACACACACACACACACACACACACAAAACAAGACCTATCCACCACATAGGACCACCTCCTTCCTGCTCATTAACTCCACCCCCCTCTCCCTGGCTTGTACACACATAAGACCCCCTCCTCAGTGTAGCAAGAACAGTCTGATCCTGCCAGAGCTGCAACAGAAGAGCCAACATGATCCCCTCCGTTACTCTCAACAATGGAGCAAAGATGCCTATAGTGGGTCTGGGAACATGGAGGGTAAGGCTGATTGTTTTATACGTATATAATACTTAGACAGATAGAGGTGTTGGACTTTGTCTCTGGTGTTTTTATCAGTACTTGAACAAATGCATTTCATGGGTTGTATGATCTGTATTGTCCATGTTGTTCATGTTACTGCCTTGTCGCTGGAATCTACTGCAAACTAGGTTCAAGAGCTAAATGTAATTACAGAATGCTGTGCTAAACTAGTTGCTAATAAGATATGAACTATTTTTGTAATAGATGTAAGCAGTCCCAGTGCTCACTTGATACATCCCAACGCATGGAAGGAAGTGTTAAAGTGACATAACATAACAAATAAAGACCCCAATAAAATGTAAATATATCATTATAATTGAATGCATGTGACCTTAATCTGATTATTTAAGCAAATACGACTGCATGCTCTTATTTTGAAATCCACAAATGGCATCATCAACATGTGCTATACTGAAAATGCCAAGATGTGAAATTGCAAAACGATCAACCTTGGTTTATTACGGGTT